TCATTTGACAACTTCTTTTAGGTTCCAACTGATATAATGCTGTGACTTCGATTGATTCAGACTAACGGTGAACTCAATAATGGTTTCCCTTTGCTTTATTAAGGAAGTGTTATGGCTTGCAAGCAGTTTGTTAAATTTTTAAGTGCAATAATTTATTTATGACACTATTTTGGAATCCTCCCTTTACTCGCGATCTCGTTTACGAGGTTTAGAGGTCTATCTGTATGATTCAGTTATTCTAGAACTATTTGTGGTAGAAATCGCTTCGAAACATGAGGTTATAGTTGTATTTTTTTACCTCTGGCAACATTATTTATTTATATCAAATGGCAGGCGTTTTGATAGTTATCATTAGCCATTTAGTTGACTTCAGGCTTCACAGAGGGGAAGGAACATCAAAGTGAAAAAGGTCGAGATGGGGGGGAACAGGAGAGTGTTTCAAAGATGTAAAAGAGACAGACACAAAGTTGGAAAAAAGGTGAGGTGAGTACGGTTGAAGTAGTCGAATTTGACATACAGTGGGGGTGATGGTAGTTTGAAGTGAGAAGTAAACTGACGGTAAATAGACTTTTTTGCCGTATGAGTATACGTTGCCCAGGGTGCACCACGTGGAGGTAAGTCTATCGCACACTCCACCTCTGGCAACATTGTACGCGGCGTTTATCACTGTCGGAATGTGTAAACTGAGATGGCCTTTTGTCTATGCTCATGCTAAAAATCGATACGGATTGGCTTAGCATTTGCTATTGGTGACATGCTAGTATCATATGATGAATTTCTGGCTTTTGTAAATCTATTTAATTAAGCATAGCACTTTTAATTCCAAAGCACGTTTGACATTGGAGGTAACTTTCATGCAACTAAAAGCGGTTTAATCCAGCAATAAGGATGTGAATGACTGCTAAACTTAAGCTTAAATTACAATCATTTTGAAGAAAAAAGTGTTCCCTCTGTTAGTTATTTGTTAATTTGAACTTTTACCGGCCATTAAATGATCGAGTAGATCAAGTAAGTAGATCCTATTACTGTTAAATTAGAACTTTCTTTCAGTGATGACTTAGACGCATTCCCTGCCTTAATCGATGGTATTTATTTTGATGCGCCTGATTTGCCTCTGCTACACCGTGTTTTAGACAGGATAAGCGAAGAACCAAGATACTGTGAGACTACGTGATATCCTATAGCTTAACATTCCCCTTCAATTCATTAAAAGTAGTGTGCATATCTCAATTGGCTTTGAATGAGGAGGTTGCACTCTTAAGTATCTCCATACTTACATTTTGAAGCGTTCTTAACCATAGTGTCATTTCGGTTCTACTATGGAATTAGCTAATGTTTGACAGACAAACCTTCCCATGCATTATTCATTGTTTAGCAAACGTCTTAGCAAGTAATTATCCTGTTTCAAGGCAAGTGCAGAAATATGGGTTGAAATAGCGACCTCTAGGGCAATTCATTTGAGACTCACTGTTGGAAGCAACTCCCCCCACCCCTCCTCTCCAAGTAACCAGGTTTCAATCCGTCATGGATTAGTGAGAACTAATTGTCTTCTCTACGACCACTTGTACCATGTAAACACATTGATGGAGATGCGGGGTTACTAGGTGGAATGCGAGATGGTTTCTGGAAGGGACTGAACATGAAGGGCCTGACCCCTTCACACCACTTCACTTCACTTCACAAGGATTAATGGAATGTATGGAATGCACTCAATGTTTTGGAATACAACGTCTGATAATTGCCAAGTTTGCTTCAATCCTATTCATGATGTCTGCCAGTATTTAGGGTAACATCTGCGCTATCAATTATGTTAATTCAACTCGCAGATTAGAACAGTATATTGGCAACTTGGCCATTTATGTCACAAGTTGCCAGTAGCTTGACCTCCCATCCTGTACTCAACAATATTCGTTATTAATTTAAACTTAAATTATTGTTAACCTTCAAGCCAATTAACATATCTGTTACATTTTAAAGTATCAATTTGAAATTAGAATACATCGTAGATTTCGCTGAGTTGCATAATTTTTTAATCTCTTTATACGGTCCTCTTTTAAAAACAGATAATTTTGAATTCCCGTGTTTCTAAATGTGATTTTGCTATTCAGAACGAACACGAGCGCGAAGGGCATGAAGTGCTATACTCCGAGGCACGAAATTGTGTCTTTTTAATTAAGACACAGGCCTTTAAATGCGTCTGTCAGAATTGTGCATAAACCCATTTAAAAAACGCAGCATTTTTTTTGTATTTTAAAGCAACTCGAGAAAGTGCATTGTTGTTCATAAATTGAAATGCAATTTCATAAGTGACGAGAGTAAATAGGATTGATGACTTCAGATTATGTCTAAGCCTGGCAAAAACATCAAATTTTAGTGAGATTGAGTATTTTTAGAATCACAAGATCCAGTGAGCCCTTCTTCTTTATTATTATCTTAACCTCTACAGCCCTTGATTTAATTGGTCTTGTGCGTTATCTTTACTAATCAATTTTATTTCATTTGGCAGGCTCAACAAGATCCAGTGGTCCTAGCTCTTCTGGGTGCTAGGGACCAGATAAGTTCTTCCCTTGGTGATGGCCAAGCGCTCTTTGCGCAAGCCTCGAATCTTGCTCAAGTTGCCACTTCTTTGGTTCAAGAGCTTCGTAATTCACATGACGTTCTTGCCGCGGCTGGCATCTCTGAATCGGAGGCCAATCTTCGTGCTAATTTACTCAGTGATGCTATCAGTGACGTTCTCGAATCACTGAAGGTTTGTTCTACATCACCTTTTTTTAGTATTTTTACTTGCTCTTCATTGTCTTGCGCTTGCTTAGCAAGCCAAGGTCATATATCACTGTTTTTTTGTTTTTTCAGGCCCTTGATTCAGGCAACATGCAATCACTTCCGCATCAACAGGAAACTGTGGCTGCAGCCAATAGGTTGATTGATCAGGCGAATAAGCTGGCCTCGCCGATTATCCGATTCCGTCTTACCACTGGACTGGAGTTCGCCACGCGACTGACTGCTTCGAATGCCAGTCAATTAGCAGCTATGTCAGAAGAAGCTGCGCGACACAGTCGGACGAGTCAGTATAGGGTGAGTTCAAGGCCATCAATGTCATGGGATATTTTTATTGACCTTGAGTGCGATATTTCAGCCAGCATATTCACAACGTCATTCTGGCAAAAAAATACCACAAAAGTTTTCCTTTAAATCTATCAAGTTACTTTGTGTCAAAAAGCTCCTTTTTAGTTGAATTTTTATACATTATGCTCACGTAAAACTCCTTAGAATGGCATTACTTGTCAATGCCAAATGTGTAAAAAAATGACCATTTTGTTTGGTTAGGGGAAGTGTAGACCCACAATTTGTCCAAACCTTTTAACAGTAAGAGTTTTTGTGTTTCGAATTGTTTTTCCAACAATGTATTCGTTGCCTCCTTCTTATCAAAAGCGAGCTTCTGTACCATCGAGTTAGATTCGATATCTTTTTTTAATAAATGAAAAACAGAGAAACAGGTAAGAATTTAGCTCACAGCAGGACCTAGCCTTCAAGGCAATATTTACTGAGGGAAGAGAACAATGACTTAACGAATTGTTAAAAAAATAACTTGCAATGCGGTTAAAGACTCTGCCCTCGACACAGTCATTCTTTCGGGTATTCGCAGGTGCGGCATGCATTGTTTTGCATTTCTCAAATCCCATCCATTTCTGATGGTGGAAAGCGTGTAAGACCGGAATTCTGGGAGACCAAATCTCCCCTGTATGCTTTGAGTTGTACTAGTTACTAGAATATTTGTTTGATTCAATTCAACACAATTTTATTGAATATGAACTAACATGTGATCTGAATGGAATTATTTTAATTGAAATGAGTAAAATTCGAGAAGTTCTGGACATTTTTCGGGTTTGACAATTTTCGTTCTCGCTGTTTAGTTGCTCCAAGAATTGGATCAACTATCCGCTGAAGTCATCCCCCAGGCTAATTTGTCCTGTGACAATGCTCGCGCTCATCCCAATGATCCAGCTGCCCAAAATGGACTTCTTGAGGCCTCGAAGAATCTCATGGATGTAAGTCGTACTTCATTTTAAACAAATGCACCATATGCTTCATCCCTACTGTTAAGTGAGTTGAAAGTGTAATAAAGTCTAGCAAGTATTACCATTCTATAATAAAGTCTTGCTTAGTTATTTCTAGTTTAGCCAGCACGCAACATATGATAGGAAGGGAAGAGACTTATGAAAGGGGCTGTGGAGAGATGGCTTATTTGGTGATTTACAACTTCACTAAATGGGCAACATCTCATGACTAGCCTATTTTGCAATATTTAAGCTCCCTCTTTTCCCTTTAAGTGTCTGAAAGATTTCATCTCATCAGTCGACTCATTTGCTCCTACTGTTACTGATGCTGGAATTCAAGTTGCTCTAACAAATGCTGCAAGAAACACTGATGCCTGTTTGGTTGATCTCCACCAGTGCTGTGCATCAGCCGCTCCAGTTCTTCAGTCATCTCCGCCAACCCTCAGTGAGCTTGAGGCATCTTTAAGCTCTGCCAACTTAGCTCGCAGAGAATCCAAATCCATTGCAGTCACCAAACGTCAAGCTTGGCCATCTATCTCCGCTCGTTTGACGAATATGAAATCTGAGTTGGAGGCGAATTCTGATCATAGACTGCCTGGTCAAACCGTAAGTTATTCGCAACTTTCCACGCCATCGGGACGTTTAAAATCAACTGTTTTTTTTTCTTTTTAGATGGATTCAGTTTGTGGCGATCTTCTGAGTGCAGTTAACAAATTCAAGGATGCTTGTGAGGAAGAAGGGGGTTCAAGTCTACCCCATGCTCTGGCTCTTGAAGCAGAATCTATTGCAAATGGAGCTAAAATTGCTGGTGTGGGTCCAGATAGACTCCCACCGGTGACTGCAAAACTCCTCAACTCCCTTGAATCTGTAATTAGTGGAACTCGTGGATTAGCAGGATTCTTGAGTTCTATTAAAAATGCTGATGACCTAGAACAAGGTAACTTTTCATTGAGAAACGGTTTCTTAAGCTGTTAATACCCCTTATGGACGCATGATCTCATTTAGATTGGGAAACTGTGCTGACGAATTCTTGGACACTTCTCCCTGAGACTTATAAGGGACAAACAGGTCAAGTGTTGGCCCACTCTTCCAGTCATGATCTATCAGCTCAACTAGCCGCTGAGAATCTTCGAAGTGCTCTCCTGGAAAAAGGGTTGCAGTGTATTGAAAAAGCTTATTCAAGTCTTATTTGGGCTATACACGATGATAAGCCCCTAGAAACGACCAAGAAAGTTGTTGAAGCCAATGGTATGGAAGTAAGTAAACAAAATGTTGTCGATTATGCTCCGCGTTTATTTCCAGTGGTTGGGGAATCTTATTTTCCAGCAGATGAACCTCTTAAATAGTCTAATTAGGAGGGGGGGGGGGGGGGGGGGGGTTTAAAACGAGTCCACCGTTCACTAATCATTTTCCCAAAATAATTTTTTATGAGTTAAATAAAGTATTACATTATTAAATAGGTTTTTTTTTATTTTTTAAAAACTTTAAGTTTGTTTCTGGTAGCAAGTTTTTAATGTTGCCTCCTATTTTTTCATTTTAACTTGTTAGCTAAATGGCAAAAATATGCAAAGTGGTTCTTGGGGGGAGGGGGGGGGTTAAATTTGACAGTCCCATGAAGGGCAATAAAAAGTGGTTAGAAAGTGCAGAATTGTAAAACTTTAAAAGAACTTCAATGGACAAGGGAAATACTCATTTATGAGGGAGCTTCACTCAAGTCAACAGCCTCGATTCGACCTCAGCTCCCTCTTCGCCCTCAAAACGTGGAGAAGGCTGATTCTACGTTTCGTTGGAAAGGTTCCAAGAAAACTGCTTTCTTTCTGTCCATTAACTGGTTCCCTTTATAAAACTGGCACAGTGATTAGTTAATTCCTCCACGGCGCGCCACATGCATTGTAGTCTGGGGCGCAAAAGGATGTTTAAAGCCCAAATATAAATTGGGACTGGTGCTGCCGTGAACTTCGACAGACAACCATGTTTGATTTTTTCCCGGAAGCGTGACGGGGTGTCGACCCAATCCTACTTTTGGCTACTCGTGTTCGTTACTTAGAACTTATCTTCTACATTGGTTGGTAGTTCCAAGTAGGCAACAGAATTCAAACTAAGTTATTCATTAATGATCTCGGCCAGGGCTATTACATTACTCCAGAATGGAGCGCATACCTGCAAACCGCTATATTATGTGGAAATTTGGTTTACTTGTTTCTAGGAGTTTCCACTGGACTGTACACAAGGGAGCCATTTGTTTTGTGCTTTTAATCATATTCAAAGTTTTTTTCTTATCAGAATAGAACTCAATTGTTTATGCATCCGCATGGTGTTTCACTTTGTTCAGGAGTTTGTTTCCACTTGCCAATGGAGAAATTAACTTCTAGGACGTTTGCATGGGCTTTTAGTTTTGAAGATCTTCATTTTCTGCATTAACTGTAGTGACAAAGGTCGAATTCCTTTTGCTATTGTGCTTTAACATCTTCGTACAGGAAGTTTCATTCACTGAGTTCTGAAATTGGTAAATAACGGTCGAAAAAACTTTATTCTCAGAGTGTACGTTTAATGCGACATTTTGAATGAAAGTTCTTAGCTTAAGGCAATCTATTCTTTAAGTTGGTGATATTTCGTTACTAAATGTATTTCAATAATTATGGACTTTTTATAATAATCCGAAAATCCAGTCCCTGTTTATTGAACTGGTGGAAACGTAAACTTACTACCAAATACATCTTCATCTTTTTCCAGACAGGCTTTATATATAATAACCCCCCCCCAAACGGGCATAACCACCTTTACGGTAGGACTGTTTACAAGATGGTATTCAAATAGGTTTACATAACTTTATTTCTTTTAGTTGCAATCAGCTGTTGCCGAACTTCGACATTATGTTCCTGGATCTCAGGTGGCTTCAAAGTTGGGTTCCATTTTGGCCAGCCTCCCAGAAACTGCTTCGAATAACAATGGACTTGCACAACAGTCTCATGTTCAACAACATCATCCCTCCTCTACTCCAAGAATATCCACTTCCGGCGATCCCAATGGCCTTTTGAAGGCTCTAAATGAATTAGCTGCGGTTAGTACTCCACACCTTTTACAACTTCTAACCTCTATTTTGCTATAATTTAAACTTCTTGTTGATGTCTATGTTGGCTGTGTCCAGTAATCGCATTGAAGATAAGACGGAAGACTAGGTCAGATTATCCAATTTTGATGATGTGAATTGTTGGTGAAGAGCCCGGTCATGTCTTTTTGTAGAGGAATGGCCGGAAGTAAGTGGAATTGCGGAGAAGTGACTGACAAGATTCAGGGAGGGGGGGGGGGGGGGAGGTTAAGAGCTAATAATAATAAATCGGTCTTGCTATGGATAACAGAAGTCAGTCAACACATGGCGATTAGAAATCATTGACTGGTGGTAAGGTCTCGACCACAGTATCCATAGGCGGTTCAACTATTTGCGTATGTGAGTTTACTCAGGCATCCGAACAGATGTCAATATTTACATCGAGTTTTGACTAACATGATATGAGTCATTTTGTTAATAAACCTAATATATTGATCGGTATCGAATGTTTTCAACGACATATATAATTTGAATTTTTCCAAATTATTTCAAGTCCTTAGGTGTTCTCCTTCATCGCATCTATAGGTTAGAGAAAAAGTCTAAAACGCGTGTCATTAGTAGCGAGTTTATAAACAGAAAGTGAACCAGCCGTATTGTCTGATAATACTACTTTTTTATGGTGATGCACAAACTAACAGTGACAATTTCTTTAACTGAATAGAACTTATCAATATTCGAAAGGAGCTTTAGAACTTAGTTATAAATAAGGGTTGTGAATTTACGCTAAATATTCGTCAAATCGAAAAAAACAGTATAGAGGTGCTGCTACACATCTATCCTTGAGGGATATTTGTGTGTCTTCTGAACTTGTCATATGAGTTGAGTCAGCAACACCCTCGCAATTTCCAAGCGCTTTCTTTATGCATGATTTCTAGTGGGGTAAATTTTTTCTGAGCTTTCGATACATAAATACGTATATCCCATGCTATAATTTTTCGTTTGAGTAAAACTAATGTGTCTAACTGCGCGTTTCTTCTTTAATTTTGAAAATATTTTGCCGTACAGATTACCTAACATCTGGGTTTCATTCTGTTTGTATCGAAGTAAATCAGATCTTTATTCAATTTGCCGTTAGCAGCGGGGTTTGGAAAAATTAGCATCGGAACACCTGGATGTGGAATTTTGACCGCGAAATCGCTGCTGATGTCATTTATTTTCTAACCAAAGACAAATGAACAGAAGCTTATAGCCAAATGTTCAAATAATTCAACTGATATACCTACCAGTCTCAAATGTTAAATGTACTTTAATGATCCTGCAGATCGATGCTCAAACCAGAAATAAAGAAAGGCACAAATTCCTGTTTTATATCAAAAACTTATAACAGTTAAATTTGTAACATGTATTATTTATCAATTCGTATTCGCTTAAGTAGATGATGCGATGTTTAATGGTTATTCAAGTAGTAATGAGAGAATATGGGAAAAAGTTTTTCTTCGCCGAGTGGTAATATTTAAGAAAGTTTCTTTAGCAGAAATCTTATGAATCTGCTTAAAGCAATGATTCCGAATGTAAAACCTGTTTGCTTTTAATTTACTAATGATATTTGTCGTGTTTTTTTAAATATGCCAGCTTCCCTAAGCAAAATAAGCAACGAAAATAATTGGATGCCACAATCTGCGAAGGTTTTGCCAATCATAAGCAAAATTTCTTGACACTTAATTACTGAAAGCTGATTTCCAAAAGTTCTTGTCAAAGGAATGGGTGAATTGTGTAAATTTGATCAATAATAAACAGCTCTGACAACGGGTGACTTTTTGAATCGCTTGTTAAAGCCATTATAAGGTGATGTCATTTTTAGGGGTTTCGGTGTGTGTTCAAAATGCGCAGTTGATACAGATCAGAAGAAAAGGAAACGTGCAAACCATTTTTTGTTCGCAAATTTGTACCAAAATACTCTTCCTTTACAGGGAGTATATCTTTGAGCAAAGTAACCTCCATGATAATCTACTTATTCCAGTTTATCAATAATTTCATACTGGTATCAGTATAAGTGAATTAAACACACTCATTTACCCATTTCAGTTATTGCATAGTCCGTCTAAGAGCGCTTTCGTTAATGTTCCTGAAGGGCTGAGGAAATCTCACATTTAAGCATATGACGGTGTTATCAACAAGATATATCCTCATTCTCTTGAAGCAACCCGTGTCAGGTTCAAAGTTTCCCCATGTTTTCTACCTTCCATTCCTGGTATAAAGTTCGCATCAAGGCGAAGGGTTTCATTTATATCGAATGGCAGACTTTGTGATAGTTACCATTACCCCCCCCCCCACCCAAGGGGGAAGCTGAAGTCAAAGTTTAAGGGATAATGATAATTATCATAAAGCCTGCCATTTGGCAAAAAAATGATAGTTATCATTAGTCCTCCGGTTAACTTCGGGCTTCACAGAGGCGAGGAGCAGACAAAGTCACAAAAGTCGAGAGGAGGGGGGGGGGGCCAGAAGCGTGATTCATAGAAGTAAAAGAGACAGACACATAGGTGGGGAAAAAGGTAAGGTGAGGTAAGTACTGTGGAAGTGGTCGAATATGACATAGAGCCGGGTCATGGCAGTTTGAAATCAACTCCCGATTTATAGACTTTTTGGCGTATGAGTATGCGTTGCCCGGGGTGCACCATGTGGAGAGGTTAGTCTATCGCCCACCCCAGGCGAATGGATAAAGCTAGGTAATTCAACTAAAAAATTAGCCAAAGGGGGGGGGACAGTGGAGTCAAGTGGATCTTGGAACTTTTGCATTTACTCATTTTGTTGAATCTAATTAGTTGGACAAAGGATGTACCAACAGGCACCCAGACATACTCCCTACTAATTCAATTGTTCCTGTCTAAAATGCGGTTGATCGGAGAAAGTGAATTAAAATGAAAGTCTAACTTTTAAGTTGCAAAGTATGTACAATCATCAAGGATTTGCATTATCTTCTGAATCCAAGGGTAAAAGTTATCTGAAGTTTTAGCCCTACCATTGGACACCTGAAATAAATATGATACTTGTTCGCAATTAGCAGGTTTTAATTTGACGATAGCTTCAAATGCACATATTCTTACATGAACTATGCGTGCTCATCTTGACCTCTTGAGTACGCACGGGTCGTTCTTCAAGTACGTGCTCAAGCGCGATATATTTTCTCTAAAGAGCGAAATTGAACAAAGCTCCAACCTGACTTTCTATTGGACAGTCTAGATTGATTTTTTAATCAGATGGTCTTGTTATTCGCAATCCGAGTTTTCAGTACGCTTTCTGACGCGTTTGTTCCTTCCATGCGTTGAAAGGCGAAATTTTTTGGGGGGTCAAGAGAACTGGTCTCGACAAATTCTGTCACCAAGATTCTGCATCTTCTTGCTAAAAATCGTTTAACCTAATCGTCATTCAATTAACCATTCATCAATTAACAGAGTTTAAGTATTTTAATGGCTTTTAAAGCAGAGGGCTGTGGTTTACGTTGTACAATTAAAACGAGCGTAAATAATACAATTAGGTATTTGTTTGGGTGAAAAATTCTCGGGCTAATCACGAGTTAATGACTTAAAAAATTTTTCTTAAAAGAGCGCTTGTACGATGCGATGTTAAATTTCATAGTGTAATGATATCTGAAAACATGTTTTCATGTTTTGACTAGGCAAGCGAGGATGCAAGTCGTATAGCTAGCGAGCAGACTTCCAGACGCCGAATCAATGATGTCTCCACACCCTCATCTACCTGCTCACTCGCCAAAGCCGCCGACCGACTTGCCAATGCACTCTATGATGTTTTGGATGCCTTCAATAGTGGAAGTAGAGCCGGTAGTCCACATGAGGAGGTACTTTCAGATTTGCGACGTCTAGCTACGCCATTGGCTGCTGAGCTGGAGAGAGCTCTCGCTTCTGAAGGAGTCGTTCAGACACCTGTCAATGTCATGTTTGTATCAAAGGCCTCCATGTGAGTTTCCTCGTTACAAAATTCATCCCATTTTGTTTAGGACTAATTTCCTATATAATTAGTTTTCCTAAGCATTAACTGGAAAATCACACTTAAATATAATACTGCCAGTCAGCTATATCTTAACTGGCGTGCTTTTTCCCTGGATTTATTCAGCAAGTAGAAGCCAATTTACTGTTTATCTAATAATGAAGCAAAGTGAGAGCTTAGTTAGGTGCTCGTCAGTATGCAATCAGAAATTGCTTTGGCTTGGAGAAGATCAGAAATTTGTTCTTTGATCCGTTCACAGCAATTGTTCAGTGAGGTGTCACTGAAATGACGCTTTGGTTCAGTCTCTTCGTCTTCTACCTATGTCATGTTTTCCTCATTGGACGGTCCCTACTCGTTACTCATGGATATTTGAGCTTTATCAATCTCTGCTTTAAGTCCTAACCCAATGCGTTCACTGTTAATGTATCACTCTGAGATATCTATGACTACGATCGGATACCCATTTGATGTGGGACTAATGAGTCGATAGGCACGTCATACCACTTAAGTATGACTTAAAGGATGATAGAATTTGGGTTTCTCGACAAAGGGATCTGTGGTGTTAATGCTTCACCCAAAACGTGGTTTGGAAAACTCTTTCCAAAATGAACGTGAGAGTTGTTAAATTGTCGATTTTATTTATCTATTTATTTCCAAAATCTTTTTGAGGGGCCAGCTGTAACGGAAGATAATTTATGACCAATTATGGAACTACTAAGCATTTAATCTGTGAGCTGGACAGATCCAATTCAAAAATTGTTTATTCAAATGTGCAATTTAGAGTTCTAATTTGCTTGCTCCATCATTTTCTCATCAACATCCGGTTGAGATCTTTTTGTGCAATTCTATTTTCGAAATCCGCTATTGTAATAAAATAGTAAATCATTACAAATTTATCTTCAAATGTTATAAAATTTAATTTCGATTTCGACCACAATCTCTGATTTGCTTATTTTATAACACAATATCTGGTGGAGGTATGAAATTTTGACCTAAAATGTGCTCTTTTTTAATTTTAAGGTCACTTCGTGATTGGGTAATAAATGTAACAAAGGCTACTCAAGCTCAGTTAGCTAAGGATGATATTGAACAAGGCGATTCGTCTAAATCGCCGGAGAAAACACTTGAGAGCATCCGAACTCAACTCGACTCAGCCAAGAATCGACTTGCGCCGTTCACTTGCCCAACCAATACAGCACCTCCTCTTATCAATTATCCAGTTGCCAAACTAACTTATCCCGAGTGCTTGGAAGAGTATGAGGATCTTTCCCAAGTAATTCAAACTTTCTAAGTGACACTAAACTGCTGACATCAGTTAATTAATTTACTTTCATATTTAGACACTGGCCGACAGAATGGATGGTCTAGAGCAATCTGCCCAATCTCGTAACCCAAATGCCTTCTGCGATGCAGTACAGGGTGTCGCAGATGCCGTTATGGGTATGATACAAGCGGCTACCCAATCAGCATATCTTGTTGGGGCTGGCCAGCCTTGTAATGAACCAGGTAGGGCTTCGAGATTAACTGAATCTGAGATGGAACAGATTGCAAAAGATACAAGCTGCCTTTACCGTAATCTTGATGAAGTAATACAGAAGGCACCAATGTATCAAGGCAATCCGGAAAGAACAAATCAGGTGTGTATTGTTGATAACACTGTCCTCCGAGTAACTAATTCATTGAGCCTTTTTTGCTTGATCTCTTGTAGTTGGCTCCAAGTGTTAACGATATCACTCGGTCTTCTAGTAACATGTGCCAATTGACCCGACAGTGCATTGCGGAGAGCATCGATCCAACAGAAAAGAAAACTCTTGCTGAGGTCTTTGCCCATTAATTTTACGTCTTTAGTGCATTCCATTTATTGGATCCTAAACCTGTACATGCCTTATAGAATGCTAAGGATGTGGCCCAGACAACAACTCAACTGGTAAAAAGCCTCAATTCTGACGATCCCAATGCATCATCTAACGGAAGTCAAGTAGTGCAAATTGCAACAAACCTCAAGTGTTCGGTTTCGAGACTGGCTAACTCTCTTCTGGAAGATGGTGGGGAAGTTCCTGTTCGAGTTCTACCTGAAGCTTCTAATGTGTGATATCTTACGATTTTCATTTTCTTTTCCTCGACACGAATACTGATATTCATATCGATTATTGCTATTTCAGCAACAAGCGCCAATTCTCATTCACAGCCTTAATGTTGTTGAAAAAGCTGACTCCTTGACTAAAACAGCAGGCAAGCTTTTCGAAGCCAAGACAACAACAGATGTGTACAAGGAACATCGAAAAGCCCTTGAGAACGCCACTGATGATCTTCATTCTTGTATTAGGTGAAATATAGTTGTATTCTAAAGCACCTTTTCTACTTAATTTTGTTTAAGTAATATTCTTTTTATTCTAGCTCTTCACGACCAGGTTGGAAAGCGCTAGAAAATCTGAAATCTACTGCAAAAGAGCTTTTGAGGAAGCTAGATCAAGCTGGCATGCAACATTATAAAGATGAAGAGACATCGAACTTAGAAGCAAAGACACCACTACTGAATTCTAGTTTGCATCAAGTGACAGCTTTGAGCGGTAAAATGGCTGGAGATTGGCGGCATTCACGATGGGAACTTGTTAGTCAGGATGCGCATCTTATTTCTTCTTACCTGCCCAATGTTGCAAATATCTGCCTCTCAGCTTGTGGTATGCTGAAAAGGAGTTCAGATCAAGCTGCTCTACAAAGCTACCTTCGCACTGTTCTTGAAACTACTGATGCTTTATCCACTCGCCTAATCACCCAAATGAACAGTCGGGTATGCAGTGGAATTGCTCCTTATTTACTTCAATTTTTATCTCTAAAACAGGTAATTCTTCTATTTATTTAGTTTGGAGGACCCCCTGACCCTGATCCATCTCCAATGTCTGCTAGTTCGGACCAACTTCGATTATCTTGTCGTGAATTGCTTATCTGTGTTGAGGAGTTGACAACTCGCCAGGATAACCTCAATTCTCAAATTGCTAGCATTCGTAATGCTTGCAAGAAGGTAATACTTAGTATAAAAGTATTGCAAGTTAATGCCAATCCTAGTAACCATTAATCTAGATCAGAGCATAATTGTTGCTTTTATCTAACTGATCTACGAGTCTCACTATCGAATGATTTAAAGAGAGCAATGTGTAACAAAAAACAGACAGAAGTCATCAGGCACTGTAAAAAGATGGAACATGAGAATAGGTGGCCATGGGAAAGAGCAAGATTAGAATCCACTAACTAAACTAAGGCTCAACATGGAAAACCGTTCGATGAAAATGTATGATTTTTATTCAAGAAAAGCATATTGACAAGTTTATCTGCAATTATCTCATTAAGTTTACATATTTGTTTAAGTGAGTTAAATAGCACGATTGTTACCTTGAGTACATTTTTGTGTAAAGCGTTTCTCTAAAACAACGTCGTCTTTTTGTTGAGTTCCGAGATTTTTGGCTACTTCAGGACCTAATTACTTTGCGCACCAGCCATAGCCATCCTTTGAATGTGCATATTCATTTTATTCTGGGCAAAGGTGAAGTTGTGCATGAAAGAGAAGAAAGGAAACTATTCTGTTGCAACAAATAGAAATTTTAAATTTACATTATGCTGATTCTATATTTATTAATATTTTAGTTGGATGGTGGATCTAGCCCACACTATGGTACAGATCAAGGCAGCCTGGTTGCGCTACAAACACGATTGGCTAGTCAGGCTCAAGCCTTAGTTCAATCTGGTGGACGACTTTCAGAAGCTGCAAAGTCTGCTGGTTCAGGATCGGAAGATGCTGCCGCTATTCAACTAGTCCAACAATTTTCCAAGGTCGCTGAAACTAATCAACAGCTCTGCTCTATACTGAACAGCTTGTCAATCCCCGGAAATGCTTCTGTACAACTAGCAGATCGTCTTCGAATGGTTGTTCAGGGAATTGGAACTAGCTGTATCGAAGTCCTTGAAAATCCACGACACCCAGATCCACTTAAGTCTCTCAACAACCGAGTATCGAGCCTAGTTGCTGTTCTTCGCGAATCTGCTCACGGTGCGCATGCATGTATTAACGCAGCTGAAGGCATAAATCGCGTGGTTGCTGACTTCGATTCAGCCATTTACTTTGCTCGTGCGAATTCACTTGTTGATAGATCAAAAAGCGGTGAACAGACTACCCCTGCTAGTCCAACAACTGTTTCGAACGACATCCAAGCCTCTCAAGAGGAGATAATGCATACTTTGAAGGGAATTGTCGAAGAGACGAATGCCTTGGTAAGTTCCAGCTTCAAACCTTTAAAAAAAAGAATTTTTTCCGTTTTTGGGTATATATATATTTGTCTTTTTATAGTCGCGAAACACCTCGGGAGATCAGGATAAGCTAGCAGTGTCCGCGCAGAATTGTCTTCTTTATGCAAATACTCTTCATAAAAAGACATTGACTCTTCTTTCACGCTCTGATCTTGATTCCTCCTCTAAAGCTTCTGAAGAGGCTAGAACAGAAGCCACCGTCAACCTTCTGTCTATGGCTCGTGCGGTTTCGGCAAGTTTGATCGATCTTCTTAATCATAGCCGTGGTCTTGTCACTACCGATAGAGCTAATCAACCTGCGCTAGAAGCTCAACTACACTCAACTGCTGCTGATGTAAATTTATTGCCGTCTTTTGTCTCTGTTAAGCATAGTGCTTAGGAAATTAATTATCTTTCTACTACTGTTCAGGTTGTTTCCAGGGTTGGTGAGCTCCGTTCATCTTTGCGTAGCTTCTCCGATTTATTTGTTTCACCACGTGCGGCTCCGTCCAATGTGCCAAAATTGTCGCCTGTCAGTAAGTCATCACATCCCGTATCGACAGCCGGTTCAGCTAAGGCGGAGGATAGTGCAACTGCTTCTGTTCGGGCAAGTCTACAATCGGTATTATCCACAATTAAGCAGTTGGCAACGCGGCTAGATGGATGGTCTCCAGATACAGGAACGTTCAGTGATGGAGGTGAGTTAAAGCATTGTTTCAATGATAGTTTGGTGGTTGTAAAGATCTTCTTTTCTTTACCATTTCTGTGTCACTAAATCGTTTAAATTTGTCGCAACAAGATCAGATATCTGCGTATATTAAGTGTACAGGTTTTCCATAATTTTCTTTTCAAACAGCTCTACTTGCGACATCCTCATTCATCCTTTTGAATTTTATGCAGGAGATCGTGGAAGCTAGAAGAATGGTCATTCGCCAGTATCAATCCCCTTCACTTATCATTACCTAGATGCTATTCACTCTCCATATCGAATAGACTCATTTCATCCATTTTTAGATACCATCGATTCGGAACGTGAGATCGCATCAGGTGAAGTAACTACTCCTCGTCAGATCCATGAGGCAGCTCTCGGTATTACCCAAGCAGCTCTTAAGGCCAACAGTGCTACAGCATCGGGCCGCAAGTTAGCGGATATCAGTTTAGCTGGTGAGGTGATCCACAAAGCTGCTAACGATCTTGTCAGGCGTCTACGCTGTGGTACTCGGGCAGTCATGACATCAATTCGCAAGTCATCGATTGGCGATCTAGGTCAAATCGACTCAGAAAGAGCCACCTGCACTAAAGCTTGCACTCGGGCTATTGAGGGAGGCAGAGCTACCCTTCAAGAACTCGTTGTGATGTTGGATAACATGATTAAGGTAGGTATTTCAGTCGTTTCCAAGTTTTTTCACTTCATTTTGTGACTTCCAATTATATTCTTGCTTATTTTAGTCATTGGATGACCCTGGCTCTGGTCAACCACCAGCAATGCAAGTTACCTTGGCAATGAGAAGACTTCGAGAGACTGTCTATGAAATTGTTGAGGGAGTTAAGCAAATGACTGGAGATGGCGGAGCCTCATTAGAATCTGGTGAGTGTATATTATTGACGCTTGGCAGTTCAGCGGTTACAGGAGCGCCTAGAGTTTTAGATAGCTGAAATTTGTCCGATTTTCCTCAAATCATTGTTTATAATGGTCAGTCACTCCAACTTATTTCTAATGATGTTGTAGGCTGTAAATCAAAAGAGATCTAAACTTTTGGAATAGTTTTGAAGAGAATTGCTCTCATATGAGTTTTGCTATACGTGTATGGACACCTGATTTGTGAATGCGACATACAGTGGGGTGATAGTAGTTTGATGTCAGAAGTCAACTATCAGTTTGATAGACTTTTTTTGCCTTATGAGTATATCCTGCCCAGGGAGCACCACGTGGAGGTAAGTCCATCGCGCATCCTTTGAAAAAAAATATTATATCTAAAATATGATTGTGCCTGGGCAATAAGCCCCCATTTCTTTGGTGGTCGTGCTCACGTTAGTGTATACACCAAGTTAACAGGACGGCTCAACAAGTAGAGTGGTAGAATTCTAGTTTCCAATCTCTAACGCTATCCCTCCACCCAAGATGAGCCTTGAAAAAATGCTTCTCTAAGCGCCTTTTGAATCTATTTAAAATCGTGAATGTTTTTTTTGATATTCTTTAAAAGTCATTCATTTTAAAAAAGGTATTAGCTACATGCAGAATGAAAATTAGTGTGACATTTGCCTAGATGGTTTACATTTTTGGCATTTGCTTAAAATGTTTAAAGCTCCTGATTTCGCTTAGATTTTTCCCTTAGAAACTGAATGGAATACCCCGGGCATGCACGCTTAAAATTTGAATTAATTTGCATTCTTTGCAATCTAGTCATGCGTTAGAGGAAAGTACGTATTTGTACACAAATTTGGTTGAATTTGCAGTGAGTATTTTACTCAATTGTTCCAAATCTCCTCCTTTTTACTACAAAGTATTCTTGCGTTGACTTACTCCTTATTTCATTTTTCCTTGGTTTCTTTTTAATGGGGGGTAAGTATACATGTCAGTCGTCGGTAGACTCCTCGCTCTTAAATGAGAAAATTCGGAGCTTTTTTTCAATTTACTAGCTGGAGAAGTCAATCGGCGAAAAATAGAAAAGGGTGAGTTGAATCGTCGTGCACAATTCACCATTGTTGTAGAATGCGTTCGATTTAAAGATTTTTCTCTGGAAATATATTTCTGCGCGTAATTGGCATGGCAATTAATATAAAATATAATAATTAGTAGCATATCCCCTGTGATTTATTTATTTCAAATTCGTGAGCAACCTTCGTTCCGTTTCTAACCTTGTTCATGCTTGGACATCTTTTTAGGATATTTATTTTGGAAATTTAAACTGAATTTTACTCTTGTTAGAAACACCCTCAGACGCCTTTAGAATTCGAGAAGCACATGAAATATCCAGACCAAATACCCAGTCCCAATCCCAAATACCAAAACGACCCTTTTCTGCTAATCAAAATTTCCACCCTCGTTCCGAACTTGCCAGAAGCATCGAAGAAGCTTCAAGCATTGCAACTGATGTCGGTGATGCAGCTGGTACAGAAGAACTTCGGGGATTCACCTCTGAAATCGAGCATTCAGTGCAGAAGCTGACCCAATTACAGTCCAAGACAGCTGTAAGCTAATAATTCTTGTTCAGTCTCTTAATCTAATAAAATAAGCTGCACTCAACATAATCGGATGGTTTATATTTCAATATTTTCTCATTTGTAGCCCGACTCACCCTACCTGCTATTTTAGTGGACATGTACCACTCACATTCTAGCATGATACAAACGTACATATCCACACACACACACGCATACATGCACACAAACTGAAACAGTTTCTGTAAAAGTGTCCTTAGTGGATAAACATTCATATCTCTACGTACAAGCATTTACTTTGGACTTATTTGTCTAACTTGTACATTAGTATGGGAGGGTTAATGCATTCAGCGCGTATGTCCTGTCTCTGTCCATTTCCCTTACTACAATTGATACTACTTACAAATGAATTCGAGTAGCATGTGAATGTTTTTGCCTGAACGTGTTGATTCATTGTGTCATTATGTTAGTGGCTTGAGACCATGTCTGTTTGGTATTAGTCCTAGAAGTCTTTTTTGTCTATTTCTATTTTCAACTTAATTTTTCATCGTATTTAAAGGAGCTGCCCGTTGTTGTGGTAAGTGACGTGTTATTAACCACTAAAGCATGACAAAACTCACAGCGTTTTGCATATTATGGCAATTTACTGTGTTTTTAGTCGTAATAACCCAATTATCGTATCTTTTTTTTCACTTTAACTAATTCATACATTCATTCATTCAGATTCTGGCATTTTTGATTGAGGTTACTTCACTTGTCTGAGGAGATCAGACTCCTTGTTTTGCTGACAAACTTCTGTAATATGCCGTGGTATGAAGCTTCTTTTGCTAATATTAAAGGTACCAGTACGACGTCGCACATTTTGCAACCTATCTAAATTATTCAGCGCTATTTATGGGTAATGAATATTGTTTTTTATCGTTAAAGGTAAAATGCCCCACCCCAAAGGAGGCAGAGAACACTTTAGGACAGACATTGCGCATTACTTTTCTTTCATCAGGGCTTAAACGATCGTAGGTATACTATTAGAGCCGATATTGATGTTGCTTTGTCGTGTTTATGTGGGGCAATAAGAATTTGAATGACGCTTCAAACTCAGGACCATCTACATGCCTTAATTGAGGACGTTTTAAAATTCCTGATTGAATCAGGTCATCTGCAACCTATTGATAAAGTATGATGGAATTTCGAGCATCCGCGACCAAATGTGCAAGTACATCTAAAGAGTATGGATAAATTTATTAAGTTTGGAAACTGGGTGTCACCGTATTCATTCTCCCACTATAACGACAACTAACGAAGATGCACATACACTTCCTTGTTAACCAGGTCAAAAGAGTCTAGCTTAATACACTCTTCACAATTCAATAATCTCAAAAGGGGTCGAGGTTTTGTAAATATGAACCCAAATCAATGAAATGGATAACAATTCATTCATGAGGAGGAAGATTAAGCCTATATTGAAATGCTGGATTTTAAATGCCCATTTAATCATAACAAATTCAAAACTAACGATTTCAAAATAAATACTTGCAGTTATTTTACTGTCTAATCACTAACTTAGTTTTAGATAGCTTAGAGAAATTACTCCATGACAAAATTTAACCTAAACTTTTCTAACCGTTTGCCTAGTTATCTTTTTGCTTAAAGTAGCTTTCATTAACTTTAAGATCGCTTTGCATTTTAGACTCCGTTTTGATTGGCTATTCTCACCCCTCAAAATTAATACCTTGAGAACAATAGAACTTATAAAATTTTAGCTTATCCATTCATAAAATCCTTTGATGTTTTTTGCTCATTTTCGATATTTGTTGTTATTATAGATATAGGATTCAAATTCATCCCCCCCTATTCCTATTTTTTGATGTTTCTCATGTTTAAGTTCGGATGTGATTAAAATAATTTAATCTTCATGCTTTAAAAGAGTTTTTGTCGTGGAATTTCATATCATAAGCTCTACTTTGTATAAATAATAATACTTCTACTCTAGATCGTTTAATGTGTTCATATCATGAACATGTGTGTCTTATTCTTAACATTCATCCTCTCATTTTAATAAGTGTTGTGACACTGTTTTAGTGCTTTGCATTATCCAATTAGAGCAAATATAAATTCATTTTCCACTTAAAACATTTAAGTAGAGTTGTTGTTATTTCAGAAACAGACACCAGGAGCTAAAAAACCGGCAGTTGATCGAGGCGATGATGATGATGATGAAAACGACGGATTGGAGGGTATGGAAGCCATTCTTGCGACATGCAAACGTCTGGCTCATGCCACAGCTAGTCTCATGCACTGGGCCACGGCTGCACAGCGAGAACTTGTCAAACAAGGTCGTCTGAAACCTGTCAGTGAGAATGTGGATGAAACTGAAGCTGAGTCACAATGGACTTGTGGTCTAGTCTCAGCTGTAAGATTTTCTCTCCATATCAACCGATTATGCACGTTCAAACGTTTAATGCATAGCTTATGTTTAATCTGTTAATTCGATGCTTCTAAATCTTAGATAACTTACTTATTCATATTAGATGGCAGGCTTTATGATAGTTATCATCAGCACTTTAGTTAACTTCGGGCTTCACCGAGGGAAAGAACATCATCGTCACAAAAGGTGGAAAGAGGGAACTTAAGAGATGTTCACAGATGCGAAAGAGATAAGTACAAAGTTAGAGGAAAAGGTAAAGTGAGGTGAGTGCTGTTGAAGTGGTCGAATTTGTCATACAGTGGGGTGATAGTAGTTTGAAGCGAGAATTCAACTGTCGGTTTATAGACTTTTTGCCGTATGATTATATGTTGTCTAGGGTGCACCACATAGAAGTAAGTATCGTACCCCACTTGAATATATTAATTAGCTGCTAAAAGCTTTTAATTTACCAATCGCCTAGGATGGACCTGTGAAGTTTTCATTAATAATTGTTGAATAACATTGGCCAATTGAGAGTATGAACGTTCCATTATCCATACGTTTCTCTCATTGGCTAACTTTTAAGGAGCCTACCGTTTTAATCAAAAATTGAACTTGCTTCTTAATTAAATCACAAGCTATTCTCTATGGCCTCCACTCTCTTTGTTTTACTGGTAAATCATCGATATTTACGATTTTATTGGATTAACCAAAATCATTAGAATGGACAGCTATGATTCTTCTAGAGATAATAAATGAAGATCTATATATATATATATATATATATATATATATATATATACGTGCATGCATTTAAGATTTACTTAGATCGAAGACGTTATAGTTACTCGCTACCAAGTAGTCTCACGAATCGGTGAATGAAGCTTTATCTTAATCTACCACAATCATTCCTACTCAGCTCAAGTCTGAACTTATTGATTGTCTAAAGGTCATCATTGGCAGGAACTAAAAATATTGTTATTAATCTGGTTATTATCGACATGAATTGTCTATTATTTTAAGGGATAGAGTGAAGGAAGATTATGCAACCGAGAAAATATAAGCGCACATTAATCTTTTGTTTCAGGCGAGATACGTATCCGCGGCTACCGTCCACCTAGTGGAGTCTGCTGAGGCTCTAGTATTAGTTGGAAATTCAGAGAGCGCTTCAGAGAGTGGTGGTCCGCGTTTTGCTCCTGAAGATCTTGTCTCCGCTGCTCGCACGGTTGTATCAAACACCGGACAACTGATTTTTGCATGTCTGGCTAAAGCTGATGCCAATTCCAAGTCCATGAGTGGATTGAATGCTACTGCAGCAGCTGTGAGACGTCATGCTGAAAGATTGATCGAGTTGACAGAGTTTGAAAAGAATAAGTACATACAGGAGGAACCCTCTGAACCTTCTGGTCCTAGAAAGGCCACTGTGGAAGCAATGAGAGAGGTTTGTTTTATTCGCCAGTTTAAATTAATAACATTTTATTTTTTACTATGAGAAAGTAGGCCTCTTCAAAACTGAAAATTATTCGGGTGCTTTTTTCTTGACGAGGGGTTTTAAAGTATCACCATACAAAGTATAATCAAAGTTGTTTAAATATACTCCAATACATATCAATGACATACATAAATTGTGCTAAATTTTGTTTACTTCCATACAAGTGATCGGGCATTAACCAACATGTTCGATCACTTGGATTTCTTGCTGTTTGCAAATAGGCACTTAAAGGTGTATCTTGAAACCATCTAACTATCAAGTCATTGAGATTCTCAGAGGTGAAAATGTGTCATTAGTGAGTCTACATCTCTGAAGAGCATAAAATTTCGTCGATATCTCTGAGTTTATTCCATTTTATCCTACCATCACCATCATGATAAAATCTATATGTCCAAAGTCAAAGTCAAAAGTTATTAGATATATTCAACAGTTATTAGTTTGCTACTCCAAATCTGACAAATTTTGTATATATTTCTTTGGGCAATTGTTATCTTAGTATTCAATATGAGGAAATACGAATGTTTTTTGTCGATCATAATAGTATAATGGGAAAAGTGAGTGCCTAGTGGTTGTCATCACATCTGTTAAATCAAAGGTGATAGTAGGATCGTTACGTATTTCACGACGTGTACTATTAACAGTAGAGTTACGGGAGTTCAAATTTCTCAAAGATCAAATAAAGATAACTTCCCTCCAGTTCAAGTGCCGTCAATACTTTTCTTATTAAACTTGGATGTTTTTCTACAAATCCAGTGAGATGTCTTCAAATGTTTCCACTTAGCCTTTGTCATAAATTCACCTATTAAAGATCATTCATTAGACGGGATTTTCAACTCCCTGCCTATCAGGGATCTGATTGTCTCTTGGGTTCGCAAATTCACATGGATGGGGTGTTAAGTAGCTTAGTCATGGCTTTACATTTTCCTTTCTTTGTAGGTAATTGAAACAAAAGCCAGTATTGCTTCCAAGATGGCCGAACTTGAGCGCCTTCAGAATCGCTTAAAAGCGATTAACCAAGAGACCTATCGTCAAAAAGATCGCGATGAAAATGAATTTTGATTTTGGATGAAATCAATTCTTTAATTTCCATATTCTCCTTTCTTCTCTTAGCTTTCTAAAACAAACGGTTGTATTTGTTGGTGTTCTCAACTTCTCTCTTCCTCTTCTAACCTAAACACGCGCGCCTGTATCTATTAATATTATTACTACTATTTGCTTGTGGGAAAGATGCTGAACGATGATCGCTATTTGCAACATGTCCTTTTGCTTAACGTTGTTATTCAACATGGGTGGCTGCTTAATTATGGGAGAATTTTCTAGAATTAGGTCTCAAGAAATTAATTTTATAGGTAGCAATGAGGTAGTACAAGTATATTCCATTGTAATTATCCATGAAAAAAGAGTATTTCACAGTGTTTCTTTTTTAAATCATGCAACCAGATTATACTTTTCTGAAGTGGGAAATTTAGACTATTTCATAAAGAATACCTTGAAGTTCTCTGTCTGGAGGCTAAGACTGGATTCTGAAGAGAATGACCGCCTACTTGTCAGATCCCTTATTTGAAATTATCCTGAGAAAGGATAAGAAGACACTGCGTTATAATAAAGTGTCATTATCAGCATAGAAACATAGGATCACGAAATGTACATATGAGTTAAAGATCATTGGTCAAATTAAGAGAATTTAATCTAAATCTGTGATGTAATAGTTGAACGAAACTTTATCCTATCAGTGTGTACCCCACAATAAAGTGAAATTTAAATTAAAAATAGCTTTAAGATTGCAAGTGTTAGTTACTTTTCAAAGAGACTGGGTGAACTTTGTACGAGATTTTAGTTGTTTATGTGTCCCTCGCGATGCAACAAATCACTAGACTAGTTCAAATTCTTCTCAAAGTAGTAGAAGTATTGCAATCGGAAAAGGTCTAAGTGATCGGCTGTTGTAGCTAGCACAAATCGGCACAACCGATCACAGGCGCCCGGTGAGAAGTTGAGAAAACGTAAATTTGCCCTTATCCTGCGGGAAAGTTACATTTTATATGCTCCTGAAAAGATGCCAAAGTATGCTTAATAAATACTGACCGAATTTCTCCAAATAATCTCTACTTTATCAAAAAGAAACTGCCTGATTTTTAATTAACGATTAATTCCTTTGAAGCACTGTACAAAGTATTTTTCATATGCTTGTACTTTGGTACAGCATTTTATTTCAACCAATTCTACATGCGCAGGCGTTGACTAGACCTCAACAATTCTCCCCGGTAAAATTCACTTAGCATAATATTGGTCCCGAAACGAACTGAGCTACCTCAACTGTATTGACGGTGTGTGTGTTAACTAAGCTTCTTACATGCTCCGCTGTTAGATCAATCGATGTTATTCTACGTCGAATAAACTCGTTTACTAGTTGGCTGAAAAGTTTCTGAAGGCACGACCGCGCTTTCCCAAATATTCTAACTAGAAGGAAAGTGCCTTGATCAATCTTGGTAGCGTTATACACTGCAATATTTTCAAACGATCTAAGGTCATTCGGAATGAATTTACGCAAAATGGAATCCTGAGGATAACTCTAGTTTCAAATTGCAAAATAATAATCCTATCCATAGAGGTCTCTAAAATTGAATGGACTATTATTTTGAAATATCCCAACAATAGCCAGTAGGCTCACCGTTTCCAGAGCAACTACTTCAGACGCCTCCCCGAGTTATAAACATCAATGTGAACCCCCAGAATCAATAACTCGGAACAAACTTCAGTATTATGAAAAACCTACCAAAATATATAAACATATAAAAATGAACCCGTTGAATGGAATACCTATCCCTCCTGCTTTGTCTCTTCAGCTGAGCTCATCTTCACGCCAATTTACTCTCTCCATTGACAAATTGAAAGCTTACAAATCGTCGATACTGGACGTCTGCTGCCCAGCCAATCTGTTTTCTTCTACTATGGTGTCGGCTCGCCTTCAATAAATATTTTTTAATTTATTTATAGCCCTGTTTACCAAATATTTATTTATAGCAAATGGCAGGCCTTTTGATAGTTATCATTAGCCCTTTAGTTGACTTCGGGCTTCGCAGAGGGGAGGAGGAACATCAAAATGAAGAAAGTCGAGAGGGAGGTGAAACAGAAGAGTGTTTCAAAGACGAAAATGAGACAGACACAAAGGTAGGAAAAAGGTGAGGTGAGTACTGTGTAAATAGTCGAATAGGACATACAGTTGGGGGTGATGGTAGTTTGAAGGGAGAAGTCAACTGCCTGCTAATAGACTTTTGCCTTATGAGCATACGTTGCCCAGGGTGCACCACGTGGAGGTAAGTCTATCGCACACCCCACCTTCAATAAACATTACACACAATCGGTTTCAGCTTCTATTTGTTAACTCTCTTTCTCCCTTCTTAATGTTGGTGGTTATGAATGACCAGCTCGAAGTGTAATTAAACAGCATAATTAAAAATGGCAACCACAAAAAAGTCATTGGAGTCTAAATCATTTAATCTTGATTAAATGACTTTACTTGTTACATGCAGTTCATCTGCTTACAGCTACACTGTAATACTGTAACAACATTGAATGCATTATTAAATATTAAGCATTTATAAGGCCATAGAAGACCTTTTGGATTTTAGATCTTTATATGTAAAATTGTATTCCATTTAAAGCTGTGTACAAGAATTATGTTAAACCTTGGAACAAGCAAAAATTAAATTTCTAATAGTTTATAACATGACTAGTAGCAAGGCTTTTCTGAGAATCTCATCTTTCAAATTTGTTTCGCTTGATAAACAGCGACTTAATTATATTTTTTAACTAACCTGGTAAAAATGTACATTTCGAACATGTATTACTTTACAATCGATATTATTCATTTTCCTATTTGATTTATGTTAATCTGTGGAGTACACAACCCTAAAATGGCTAGCATGGGCGCAATCGAACATTCTGAAACGAACAGCGGTGATGCTGATGGCGTTAGGGAGCAAATGCGGTCATAAGTGCGGTGACCTCTCAACCAATCAACAATCAGTCGCCATTGCAAGGTCAGCGTACCCAAAACTATACTTGATGGTTAAGCTCTGAGCCGATTTCCTGGAGGGGGGGGGGCATATCACAGAATTATCATAGCCACAATTAACGTATTCTAAGTCGTACATTTAGTCTCTTTCTCCCAATTTTTAAGGTAAATTAGCTAATTTTGGGTGACAATCTATACTAGGGATCTTGCCCTCGAGTTGTAGAAAATTTACTGCGAAGGAAGTGTGAATTGCAAAGTTCGCATCTTGTCATTCATTTCTTATATCTAAGTGAATGATTGTCTTCAATAAACTGTGCTTATCTACTGGTATGTTTCAACAAGAAAAGTCGGTCTTGCCTTGTCATTTCGTTCTACTTTTTCTTCTTCTTCGAATTGTTCAAATGGCCAAATGCTCCCCTATTCACTTCATCAGCTTTCAGTTTGGAAACGTCAAAGGTGAGATAAGTGGCAACTTCAAGTTATTAGTTTAGTGCCAAATGTTACCTTCAGAGTTCAGAATAGCTGAATGATGAAATTACTTCAAATGTCAATCTTGAAATCTCAAAATGGTTTTCATGACCTTCAAGGGGGGTGGAGGGGGGGGGGGGTACAAGTCAGAGGTCTGCTGATGAGTACGAAAGGAACTTTGCTCTGATTAGATGTTGGCAAAGGAAACACTCATGCAAAGTTGTATTTGAGTGCAACAGGGAACCGGTGGGGCATTCTCCTCTCTCTCTCTCTCCCTCTCCTCATTGAAGGCATGTGGAAGCAAATAGGGTCAGTTAAGGGAAGAATGAAAGGTGTTACAATTAAGCTTCAAAACTAAATATGCATATTTCCACCGAACCACTAGCCTCTCCTATTTCATTCTCAATGAAGATAGTCCCTTTTCAATATGGTGTTTTTAGCGAATTCTCCCCAATTACTTTTTATCTGTAAGTCTTATTCTGTGATCACTCTCAAGTGAGGGGAGGGGGTTGAGCGTGAGTTGGATGCAAAATTTCACTTTCAGGGTTTAGATAATAATAAAATGATAAAGATAATGCAAACCACGCATTTCCATCATTTTTAAACACTTTGAAGAATATTTGAAAATTTGAATTTTTTCCCGTGTAAAGTCTGCTGCCAATATTTGGTTCTATTGGAAAGCGTTTGATTAATGCACGTCAATCAGAATTATTTAAACGGTAATGTCGCCTACTGGCATAGCAACTTTGGCGGTATATATGCTAAAAAATTAATGAGTAAAAAAATTTTTAAATATTATTGCACCGATAAGTTGATCGTAGTTAGGCTTTAAAGGAAACGTGAGAGGGTGCACGGATTTCTAAGTAGTCGAAAAAATAGAGGAAATGCATAAAATTATTTATTAAATTTCATTAATTTAAAATTATCTTTAGACGTGAGTCTGGTAGTCGCAGAGGTTAATGGTGCTTTGAAGGAAGTGTTGATCAGCCCACTTTTTCAATCAAAGAAGCACCAACGTGTTTTTACCCTATGTCTGGCATGAATGACAAAAAAACATTGCTAAGCTGGTTTAAAAGGTAATCTGCTACGGGAATTGGTGTGATTTATTATTACAAAACCTCAAAGTTTGCTCCGCACCTAATTTGCCTCTTCGAGTCCTCACGACTACTCTCCGTCTATGACAGACCACTTCAGGATAATTTAGTTCTTCTCGGGCAGTCCTGATTATTGATTTAACTTATTCATAATATGGGGTGGGCGATAGTCTTACCTCCACGTGGTGCACCCTGGGCAACGTATACTCATTCGGCTACCTCCACGTGGTGCACCCTGGGCAATGTATACTCATACACCTCCACGTGGTGCACCCTGGGCAACGTATACTCATACGACGAAAAAGTCTATTAACCGGCAGTTGACCTCTCACTTCAAACTGCCATGATCCCAACGTATGTCATATTCGACTATTTACACAGTACTCACCTCACCTCTTTTCTACCTTTCTACCTTCGTCTTTGAAACGCTCTTCTGTTCCCTCCCCACCCCCTCTCGACTTTCTTTCACTTTGATGTTCCTT